TCTCTCTCTCTCTCTCTCTCTCTCTCTCTCTCTCTCTCTCTTCTCTCTCGTGTGTTGTTTTGCTTTGTAAGCTAGGCTGGCCTGTAACTTGTTATATAGCCTAGACTGGCCTCAGACGTATGGTAATCCTCCTTCCTTGGCGTATTGAATGCTTTGACTATAGACACCTGTTGAGGCTAATTGCTAATGCCACTCCCCTTCCAAAAAAAATCCTCACAGTACTGAGCAGTACTCTTGTGATTCTTCAGGTTCTGCCTGTATACTGTGATCAGCTTTTTTGGAAAAGTGAGGCTCTCTTCATGTGCTGCTTGCTCTGGTGGGAAAGATTGAAATCCTCTACAAGAAGCAACTATCGAGTTGGCTGGTTCTGCTTTCCCTTAAACTCATCTCTTGGCTTGTCAGCATTGTGCCATCACCCCTGAGTAGCTGACCCCAGGCTGCTTCTGGCTTTGAGCAGAACAGAAATAAAACCCTTAGGGGTGTATATTCTGTAAACGGCTGTCATTCTAGGTTTGGTTTTCCAGTCTGTTTGTAAAGAACTGGGGTGCTCTATTGTGTGTCTCTGTGTGTGTGTCTGTGTGTCTTTAGATTAACTTATTTTTTTATGTGTATGAGTGTTTTGCCTGCATGTATGTAGATGACACCCTACCCCCATCCTACCAATTAAAAGAAAATCTTTGTTGGCTACTTTGCCAAAACGCAGAAAACATAGTTGTACCTATTTATGAATTGGATGGTGAGCTCCTACATATGCAGTGCCTACGGAGGCCAGAAAGGGACATCAGATCCCCTGGAACTGGATTTAGAGATGGCTGTTAGCCACCATATGGGTGCTGGGAACTAAACCCAAGTCCTCTGTAAGAGAAGCCAGCGAGTGCTCTTAACTGCTGAGCCATTTCTTTAGCCCTGCCCTATGTTGTTTAAAATTTTTTAAATTGCATGTTATTTACACAGTGTGCCATGGAAGTTAGAGGACCACTTTCTGGAGTCTGTTCTTTCCTACCATGTGGATCCTGGGGATTGAACTCACGTCACCAGACTTTTGGGGCAAGTGCCTTTACTCTTTGAGCCATTTCCTTATTTTTCTTTGTCAGTGCCTTTCATTATTGGTAATAACCTTTTGAATTCAACCTCCCAATTTACATGGGTTAATTGAAATGTGTTCCCAGTTCATTATTATCAGGACCATTCTCAGTTGTAGAGGCACAGTTGTGCTTGAGGATGTGCTATCTTGAAGTTTTGTGTCATTGTCCCAGATCTTTAGATAGAATCTCACTTTTTCTTTTCTGAACAAGTGCAGTGCATCTTCAGCTTTCTTTCTTCAGTAGAGAAGGCCTGATTGACTGAACAGTTCTTGCCCTCACAGCCATCTTGGGCAATGCAGGAATTTTAGCATCCTGGCCACTCAGTGCCAGTGGTTCTCAGCTGGGGCGTAGAGGATGTTGGGAAATCTGGATAAGATGGTGTCACAATGTGGCATGTTTTATGGGCAGGACTTAGGATGCTGCAGTGCACAATCCTGTCCCGATGTTGACACCCTGTTGAGAAACCCTCTACTATAGGGTACCTAGCATTCCCTGAAGATGACAGTGCTTGTTTGTTTGGGTTCTCTCACTTCTGCCCTATAATCAGTTCTTTGTTGGTTAGAATTGTGCAAAGGAGATTGCTTTAACCTGACAACAAAGTAAATTGAGAGTTTATCTGATCACTCTACTTGGAACTTCCTGAGCCTCCTAGCTCAGCCCTTACTAGTGGCCCTTTCTTCTATGTTCAGCAGGCTTGGGCTTCCTCCTTCAACCTTCCTCTTTGTTCAGGCATCTGCTTGGTAGATATCATTGCGCCGATAGGCACCCTCCCCAGCAGCTAAGCCTATAGGTTTGTTTGTAGGTTCTCCTTTTGCTTTTCGTTTCTCCTTTTCCTTTTTTCTTTTCTTGTTTTAGACAGGGTTTCACCCTAACCTGGCCTCAAACCCTGTATGTAACTGATGATGGCTTTGAAGTCCTGATCTACCCAGTGCTTCCATCTACCCAGTGATGGGATTACAGGTGTAGGAAGCCATGCTTGGTTTTATGTGATGCTAGGAATTGCACCCAGCTTCATGGATGGTAGGCAAACACTCTGTGAACTGAACTACATCCCTAGAAAACATTGTATGCCTTTTTATTTGCTTTTTAATTCTTGTAGTGCTAGAGATTGAACCAAGGGTCTGCGCGTGCTAGTTAAGCATTCTATCACTGAGCTACCACACCCCAGGTTGATAAGCAGTCAGCACCCTGTGTGAAGCTGGTTCCATGCATTCCTTTAATGTACCCTCCTCCTCAGCCCATTCTGAGCCAGGCCCCTCACATATCCTTCAACTCAGAACCGGAATGTTGACTCTGCTTCACTATTCTTTGAGAATTAACTTCTTCTATGGCTTTCTAGCCCTACTGTGCCTAGTAAACTGTTGTGGTAAAATGGGAATGTGGGGTGCAGAGGATCTTTTTGGGCTTGATGACATAGGAACCAAAATGGTGGCCTCTGTACCATTGTGAGGTATGGCTACACAAGGAGAGGTCTTTTCTGTACACAAGAGGGTGTGTGGGTTGGGACAGAGGTGACAGTCTGGTAGATGAGGCAGGACTGGTGTTCAGATTGCAGATGAGAAGACAACTGGGATGTGGAGGAAGCCATTATCTTATTGGATATGAGGTCTGGTTGAGGTAGTGGTGGGCATGGCATTCCAGGAGCTTAGAGGTGAGCTTGTAATGTGGGGGCATAAAGGTGCATTCTGGGTAGCTTGGGTTAGGATGCCTACTGTATGGTCTTGTTTGTTGGGGAAACAATGGGAAATGACAGGCTGGTGCACAGTGGAGAACCGAGTGACAGACGACCCTAAAGACATCTCAAACAAGATTCTGAAGTAATCCTATACATCTGAGTGAAGTGGTATTTGGCACAAGTGAAGTGGCATTTGGCACATAGTTGGTTTATGGAAACCTCATTTTCAAAGAATCTTCTTACTTAAGATATAGTTTCCTCTTCATTGTCTTTAGTTTTGGGACTTACCGTTCTGTTGGCAACTAAAGAAACTGAGGCTCAGTGCTGGTTTCCTGTCCCTCTCTCCATCCCAGACTGGGTTGGTTATACTCTTTGCCTGTGCCCATCCTGGGGTAGAGCCCTGAAATTGCACTCACAGTATTAGGTAGGAAAGTTTGTGGGTATGCATTTGCCTTTGTTTGGCTTCTAGTCTCGGCTTCTAGTGTATAGTCAGTGCTTAATTAAGTCTTGATTGGAAGAAGTTAGATCTATAGCACCTCAGGTCAGCCTCTGTTGCATGTCAGTCCTATGCAGCAGCTGAGGTTTTTTTTAATTAATTAATTAATTAATTAATTAATTAATTAATTAATTTGTGTTTTTTGAGACAGGGTCTCCCTGTAGCTCCTGCTGGCCTAGAACTCACTATGTAGACCAGGCTGGCCTTGAATTCACAGACATCCACCTGCCTCTACCTCCTGGAGTGCTGGGATCAAAGGTGCATGCCACCATGCAGGCACTATGTTTGTTTTTTTGACAACAGAGTCTCAGTAGCCCTAATTGGCCTTGAACCCACAGCAGTCAATCTGTCTTAGCCTCCCAAGTGCTGAGATTACAGGCCTGAGCCACCATATCTGGCTCTGCTAAGGGTTTTAATAAGCAGCATACCAGCCAGAAGAGGCGGTAGTGTATCTGTAGAAATATAGTTCCCCTCATTGTGTTCAATGGGTTTATTGAGGTGGGGCTTGACTTGGTCTGGGGCAATGGTCTGTAAGGGCAGTGACATTACAAGAGAGGACTACTCTGGTTCCATGCCTCCTTAACCTGATCAGGTGTGGTCTGGTGCTCACTCAACTGTTGTCATTGATGGTGTTTTCACCTGGTTTAATTTGAGGGAGTCAGGAGGGATCTTAATATGTGGTGCTTTCCCCAATTTGACACCCCTTTATGCTTTGTTAATCAACAGGAGCTTGAAGAGATCCGCAAATGTGGAATGAAAAACTTCCGTAACATCCAGGTTGATGAAGCTAATTTATTGACTTGGCAAGGGCTTATTGTTCCTGTGAGTATTGAACACTTCCACTTCTTATTAGATTATTCTTTCAGGTGGTGTGCTGCTACTGCTGGCCTTATCTCTATGTTCCTCAGTAGGCTCCTAGTTTGGGCAGCCCACAGATGCACAGAAGTGGGCAGTGGCTCCAGGGTGACAAATAGATTAGGGTGTAGCCTTGGGCTCTTGAATAGAATCCTGGCTTTGCACCAGTTTCCAAAAATTGTAAGGGTCCCATACCTTTCAGATCTGTAATTATTGACAAAGGGAAGAAGTGTATGTTTGCATCTGTGCACCTGTTCTTGTCCATCTCCCCTGGCTTCTGGATGACTGGCCCTGTTTATCAGTCTGATATCTCTTTTCTCTGGCTTCTTTAGAAGAAGAAGGTTGGCATCCCATATAGATCTTTGGCTTTTCCCATTGACTTTGCATCTGTGACTAACCCTCCTGACACCTATATTCTAGACTTTATTCCTAGTACATTCCACCATGTGCCTATGGTTTGTCTCAAATTTCCTCCTGATTGCCGATGCGTTCTTCCTTCCCAGTCACTTTCTGGAGGCTTTTTCCTCCAGTGTCTGTCCCAGATAGTACCAGATCTCTCAAGGACTTCTGCCTTTGGACAGGCTCAGGATTCCTCCTAAGAAGGCTTTGCCTTGGCCTTACCACTCTTGATTTTGTGTCTTCTTTTTTCTCCATCCTCTGGTCCCCTCATCCTTCCCAAGACTTGACCTATTCTTAATTGTGTAGTTCCTATTTCTCCCATTCCTCCTGAAAGTGCTCTACACCAAGCACACCAGTCCTGTTCAGTTGTTATAGATCTGGCACTTGCTTGCCTCCTGAACCTTTGAGTTTTTGATAATGTCCTGGCTCCTGAACATATAATCAGTATCTCCATTTGCTGACCTGCTACTGCTTTCTCCTCATTCTTAAACTTGAATCTAGTTAGTCTCACCTTTCTTTGCTTCTCCTTTGTCTCTGGGGACCCTTCTTCCCGCATCATAGGTTGCTTACTGTACACAAGGATTTCCATCCTTCTCTTTACCTGCCTAGACACTCCCAAATCTGTACCGTTTTTTCCATCATAAGGCCTCACTTGGAAATTTGTGGAGATTCCCACTAACTTTAGCTATACTCTGACCAACACTGATGCTCTTTCCTATTCCACATAACTTTAGCTATACTCTGACCAACACTGATGCTCTTTCCTATTCCACATTCACCTATCTTCTTTCTTCCTCCTCCTTTCTCTTTGCCACTGCCCTTCTGAGCCTTAGGCTCTTTCCCTGTGCTGGATACTTCTGTTGTTTTATATAATTGACTCCTTTTGCCAAAGCAGAGTGCAGAACATACTTACTGGATATGCTTTCTAGATGAACAGCAAATATTGGTTCAGAATTTTTAAATCTGAGAGCTTCCAGCCTACATTTTGAAATAAGTCCTTTGAATTTCTTTAGGCTTGAAAGTGGTGGGGCTCAATATACAGGGTGGGTGGTTGGGAAGCCCTTAGATAGTAGGGGCCTGTAAAGCTCTTGCTTGCCATTTGTGACCTGTTGGATGTGAGTAGAACAGCTGGAGATATCTAATCACCTGTTGCTTTTCTAATTGAGATTTTTCTTTCACTAAAAAGCAGTGATCAATCTGTGGTGCTTTTGGAAAATGAGAAGAATGAATGGAATAGTTTTAAGTTTTGAGGCTGAGGTGGTATCAGCCTGTGAGGGCAGATAACTGTCATCAAACTCTGCCTCTAACTTACCCCAAAGCCTCTTAGTTCATGCTAGATGATCCTATGTAATAGCGGGCTGAGGGTTCAGTAAGGTAAGAGTGGCTGGTCAAATCCCAGTGTGCTTTGAGACTGACAGTACCAAAGCTTTACCTTAATTTGAGGAAGCTGGATCCAGAGTCAACTATGGCAGACTGTTTGCATCTTCTCAGCTCCCTATTTCCTGCCTGTAATCACTGTCTAGGGTCTATGGGTTTGTTTTAAGGAAGCATTTCTTTCTTGAGGATGATTGGCATACTTGTTTCCCTACCTGGACCTTAGTTCTTGTGTATCACGGGTTGGGCTACTGTGGGAACCTTCTATCTGAATTTTGCTTAATTCCACCTAACTGGAGTGACACTGCAGACAAAAAGCATGGCACTGCAGCCATACTGTACCCTAACCCTTCCACTTTACAGGAAGCTACTGGACCTAATGGAGTTCTTGAGCCTGGTTGTAGTATTCAGGTGGTAGGGGTTGCTAAGAGGCACTTCCTAGAGACATTGCATTGTTACCATGGCTGCCCAAAGATGACTTTGTAAGAGGCACTTCCTAGAAACACTGCATTGTTACTCTGGCAGTTCAGGCTTATTAGTTAACACGCACACGCACACGCACGCACACACACACACACACGCATTTTTTTAGATATAGTCTTACTAATTTTCCCAGGGTGGCCTTGAATTCCTTTTGTAGCCCAAACAGGCCTTGAACTTAATGATACTCTTGCCTCTACCTCCTAGATGCTGGGATCATAGGTGTGTGCCATCATGCCCAGCCCAGTTTATGTGTGCTGGAAATTGAACCAAGGGCCTCATGCATGCTAGATAAGCACTGTGCTAACTCAGTTCTATCTCTAGCTTCTTTTTTTTTTTTTTT